CGGGGTTTTACTGCAGCGCACGTGCCAAGGCAGCGAGGCTTTTGCGCAGGCGCAGACTCCTATTCAGAGTAGGAAAAAACAGTCGGACACTCAAGACAACGACGATGACGATGCCCAAAACAGTTGTGGAACAGTTGTTCATCTTGTTGGGAAAACGCCCATACCAGAGCTTTATAGCCAAGACGGTTAAAGCGATTTTTGATTGCTCTTTCAATTGACCATGTTTGAGAACAACAAACTAATAATAAGCTAAATATAATTTTCAAATGTTTTCGATATATATATTTTGTATTTAAATATCAGCAGCTGATTTCTTTATAATACAAAATATCTTATTGCTATTTCAATTGCAAATACGAGTGGAATTTTAACTTCGTTCATTAACTTCAAAAATTATTGTGAAATAAATTATGAGGAATTGCCGAAAAAAGATCAGACCGTAGAGCATCAAAAGTTCCATTTTCTTTTCATCTAAGCCAAAGAATCGGAGAACCACTTCGGCCATGAGTCTTCGATTGTGCGATGAACAAGACAGAAAAAGAAGCTTTTGCTTCTCCGGAGTAAAAATCCATTTATTTTATTTAGGGTCTTCAGACATTTTCCTGTGCGCAGCGTTTTTAATTAAAAACATGGCTAGAAACAAAATGTCTTGGCTACTTGGGCTCGTGCCCACGAATTGAAGGTGCATAAAGTGGGCGTTGATTTGGATGGGTTGAGGGGATGGGAGGCTTGGCTTCTTCTCGACCAGACATTGTAATTGTGGATCATGATGGCGTTGAAGATGATGATTCAGCTGATTTGGCCTGTCTGGAATATTTATGGCTCGTGCCAACCGACTTCAGGCTAAAGAAACTTCAACTTCAACCTGAACTTCAGCTTCGATTCTATCTGGACAGCATCTGGCAACGGGATTTATCACTGATGGGTGCTACTGGAAATTTGTTTCTCGTTTGTTGCCACCAAAACGTTTAATTCGATTTCCCTGGAAATTGGATTTTTGGGAGCACAGCCAGCACGTGCTCCCCGTTTCCATTTGCAGGTGTTGTCCCACACAATTCTCTTGGCCACGTTCTGATCTTTGACTGTCAGCAACGCCCACGCCAGTAGATCCCCATGTCTTTGTCTTGTCTCGCTAACTGTGTCAGCAATTAGTTGCGGGCCTTATTTATGGTCTCCATTTGCCATTTGCCTGTAAAATTAATTAAACAAAGCAATAAACGAACATTGTATCCATAAAGCAATTCGGTGTTTTGGAAACAAACACAAGGCCTTTGGCTGGATTGAGTTGCAGATATGGGCTATTTTATTGGAAAGGATCAAACCAAATTCGTAGTCGATTTATAGCCTTTTTTTATCGATATAGTACCTAAAATATTGATTCAAACACATGTTTGAATTTATTCTTAATATTCTCTTAATATATTAAATAAAAAAGGCTGGACTTAAATAAATTTATTTTTCACAGTGACCCAACACCATTTTGCAAAAAATGACTCTACTGAAAAGTAAGATTTCAAATTGTGTATAGTGTAGACTTAACTTAAGTCAAGGTCGCTATGTGTTAACCTAATTTAACAAATAATAATAGTAAATACAAGTGTTATCTATTCTATAGCACAAAATCTCCATTCCTTCAACTTTTTTTACTGACACTTGGTGGTACGAGTTGTAAAAATTCCACTATCAAATAAAGTATTTTGCGTTTCATTTAAAATGTAATTGTCTAAGAATTGGTTTTGATATTGTTCTGCTTGATCTAGAAAAGTAAACTCAGAAATAGATTAAAATCACGTCGGAAATAATTCCCATTACAAAAACCCATGTTGCAGAAAAAAACCTTTACTGAAAAATCAGATTTGAAATTGTGTATATGTAGAATCTCTATATTTTAAACTAATTTAATGACAAGTGATATGTTGGTAAATACTGGTGTTATCTATTCTATAGCTAAAAGTCTCCATTACTTCAACTTATTTTATTGAAAGTTGGTGGTACGAGTTATAACAAGAAAGGAAAGCTAACTTCGGGCGGAGCCGAAGTTGATATACCCTTGCAGAATATTCCATAAATTATATTCTCCAAAATTATTCATATGATGCATTCTTAATACTCATAAAAAGTCCCAACTTCCTAACTTTAAAAACACCAAAGTTATGTCATTTCCAATCGTTCAGTTATATGGCAGCTATAAGATATAGTCGGCCGATCCTTATGAAATTTGGTAGGTCGGATTGATTGGCCAAAAATAAAACCCATAGAAAATCCCAATTTCCTAACTTTACAAACACCAAAGGTATTGCATTTCCGATCAATCAGTTATATGGCGGCTATAGGATATAGTCGTCCGATCCTTATGAAATTTGGTAGGTCGGATTGATTAGCCAAAAATAAGACCCATAGAAAATCCCAACTTCCTAACTTTAAAAACACCAAAGCTATGGCATTTCCGATCGTTCAGTTATATGGCAGCTATATGATATAGTGGCCCGATCCGGCTCGTTCCGACTTATATACTACCTGCAATAGAAAGACAACTTTTGGGAAAGTTTCAAGCAGATAGCTTTAAAACTGAGGGACTAGTTTGCGTAGAAACGGACGGACAGACGGACGGACAGACGGACAGACGGACAGACGGACATGGCTAGACCTGGTGATGCTGATCAAGAATATATATACTTTATAGGGTCGGAAATGTCTCCTTCACTGCGTTGCAAACTTTTGACTGAAATTATAATACCCTCTGCAAGGGTATAAAAATTCTACTGACAAAAGAAAACTGTGTAGTAAATGTGATTGTCTGAGAATTGGTCTGATATAGAAAAGTTCACCCAGAAACATCGAATTTATAGATCAAAATCGCATATAAAATCATCAGATTACCCCTCCCCAAAATCACTCAGTCAGCAAATCCAAGTGTCAACGACCAGTTCAAAGTGTTTATAACTATCTTTTCAACAGCTATGCTAGCATTTTGCACAACAAAGAGATCGGCAGAGCCAAGCGACGGACATATTTCATTACCAAAGACCGAACATTAGTCATCTGTGAGAGGCAGACAGACACAACCAATCGACTACAATGAACTTATCGCGCCTATAAAATCAATCAACTTTTAATAAAAAATAAAAAAATATAAACGGGCAACAGTAACAACAATAAAGTGCTGCTGGAAAAGGAGTTCAGTTTCCGCACATGTGGATCAGATCGGCCAATGACTCATCGAGTGGTCAAGTCGAGAACGAGCCGAACCCAAACCGAAAACCATAAATAAGCTCAAATATAAATAATTTTTAGTTCCTCCCCTCACTTACCCACCCGTCTTCCTGGCTGGCTGTTTGCTTATTTGCCCATTCGGCTTTGTTTATACAATAAATCTACCTGAACAGGCCCTCTGGAACATCTAATAAGGTGGGGGACAGGCCAGAAAGAAAAGCATTATTCGGTTGTCCGAGGCTTGATGTACCCTGAAAATTAATGCTAAAATTATTATTCCATACTTCCATGTCATGACAAGGTACTTACAACTCATTACTTGGTAATAATAGAAACCAATCTATTAAATAATAATATAGATTTGCATTTTGTTAATATTAAAGTTATATAGGCAGTAAAGAAATCGTTAAATATATTAAGAACTTTTCTTTAATATACAAATTGTATATATGGATAGTGATTACCTTTTCTCAACTTTTTCAGCAAAGTTCAGAGACTGCCAGCCAGAGTATGCAAAGAGAGATGACTCCAACTGGGTCTAGTCTGGACCAAAAGACCAACTACCTGCAGTCCATGAGTCATCCAAGCGAATCTTGCAGTTCGGCACACAGTTAAATGATCAGCAATTCGTGGCTCGATATGATTAGCAAGTCCCTCAGCGATCGTTGGCCACGTTCAGGTAGTTAGACCGAAAATGGGACGGCGACCATGGCCCTGTAGTCTGTCTCCAAAAGCTCGCAAGAAGTTCACTTCACACATTAAGACTTTTCAGCGGGATCGTGCCGAAGTCTGGAGCGTCTACAATGCCGTAGAATGAACGGATGACTCATCGCAGATCACACCAGATCACAATACACTCTATCCCACCAATCTCCTCTGGGCTTTTCTTACACGACCGCCGATCTGGGGATACTGTTTTTGTTTTAATGCGAAATTTGTGTTTCTCCTGGCGTCTTTTGTTGTGATTGCGATTCGACGGCGATTTTGTCAGAAAGGTACAAGTTATGAACCCAATCAGCTCCAGAATGGGCTCAGAAGTCGCTAAATTTCTTAATTAAACTGGTGTGAACTGAAGCCTTTGCGTCCATAAGGCTGTTTACATTATTCGCGCGGATCCCTTGACATTTTTACGTGATTAAAATTGCTTCAGATAGTATCCTTATTAAGAAAGCAGGTCTTCTTAACTAGTTTTAGTTTGTTGTTCTAAAGATACATATGTATGAATTTATAACTTAGTTTGCCTATATTTGCAAATTTGAATAATATGGAAATGATTATAAGATTATAAATCATTAAAATTTTTGCTAAATAAAAATAAATTAATTAAAGCGTAAAAAAGCTTTTTGTAAGAGTTTCTGTGTGGTCAACATTGTTCTTACAATTGGAAAACTATCACTTTAAAATTGACATCAAAATTTTTCAAATTATAATCGTTGTTACCGGATTCAGAAAATTTGTATTAAGTTAAAAACTGTTGTTTTTATAAAAAGGTGAAGTATCTTTAATTATAAACACTATTTATTCAGAAAAAAAATTTAATTGATATTTTCACCTCAGTATATGGATACTTTTAAAAGCAGCTGGGCGATTTGAAAATGCTACTCCATTTGTTATTTTTAGGCATTTATGGGATTGATGCTGATAGATTCATGGGGCTTTTGCAATTTCTATATATACCTTCTGGTTGTCAAATTAAATTTGTTGAATTTTCCGATTGTTTATTTTAAGGGATATTATTTTCAGTTCGTTTGTGCAGTACACACATCAACGGGCGACTAGAATATAATTTTATGCAAAAATCTTTGATGCAATATTCGCTCTCAATGAATTTGAGGTGTGAAATGTTTGCTTTGATGCAAATTACAAATTTCAAAGCGAAGGCGTTACCAGTTCATGATGAAAATAGAGGCAATTTTGTTATGTCTGTGTAGACTTTTATTAAATTCATTTTATCAACATATTGTTTAGATAAGGTCTGCGTATATATTTCGTTGCTTAAATTTAAAAGAATCGCTGTTAAAATTTAAATTTTATAGAAAGTAAAAATTCTTTGATTAGGGAAAACCTGTAATGAAATAGTTTAAAATTATGTAACATAAGTAATACAATACCTACAGATATAAAAATATGCTCTTACCTCTCCATCTTATTAATTTTATGCATCCCTCGTTTTCTTCATATTGGATAATTACTTGAGTGATATCGCCATGCTAAAAAAAAATATTTGTCAGTTATTTTAAGCTCACAGTATTTCAATACTTACTTTTTCTTCAGGTAGTTCACATCTTGAATCGTCCAGAAATGCCTCAAACATAATTACTTGTGGGATATCGCAATTCTATAAGAAAATATTTGTCAGTTGTTTTATTCTCACAGTATTTCAATACTTACAGTATCATCGTATTCTTCATATCTTGAAACGTCCAGTAATGCCTCAAACAAACAGTAGCTTATTGTAGGGTCACAGACTATTAGGACTTTTAGATTTTCACAATCTTTAACGGCTTGTAAGACCATTGTAAAATCGATACATATTGCCAACTTCTTCAAATGGTTTGCGTTTTTCCATATGTAGCTTAAGTTGTCTATTGCATGTGAGTGGTAAACACATAAGCTTCTCAGACTTGGAATTGCTGGTAAATCGTTAAAGATAGCACAATAACAAAGTCGTAGTTCTTCTAAGGCTGGAAAGTTTTCAGCTTCATTGGTTTTTCGCCAATATAGATTAAAGCCGACCAATTCCAAAAACCTAAGCTTTTTCAGTGACGAGAATGTTTCATGAAGATTAATTGGCTTGGGCAAATATATCGGATATTCGCCATTTTCAGACCATGTAGTCAACACATACTCATCTAAAAAAAACATGCAAATCAGATGATTAAATACGATTGTGAATTTAAGATAAACACTTACATTCTGGGCTAGACACATTATGCATATATACATCTTCCAAATTGGGAAGATCCTTCAGAAATCTAAGAAGTTTTGGGGAGGCATTTTTGACATAGACATTAATTTCCTTGAGGTTTGACATGTTGCGCATGAAATTTTTAACAACTCGGCGGTTTCGAGAACTTAAACAAAAACTTATTGACTCCAAGTTGGTGCAGTAGCGCTCAATTAAGTTAAACAGAGGGCTGATATCTTCATTTTTATGGGTGTAGATATGCAGAACCATTGGGCCGCATAGCGGAAATAGGGTTGGCCAAAGGCGAACCGGAACTTCGTCCACATGCAAGTTTTCAAATTCAATTCGGCAATGGTGCTTAAATGCTGAAGCCAACACCTTATCCACTCTGGCCAGACGCAGCTTATCTTCAAGATTATCCAGCGATTGGTAAATTAAATCATGAATTTCCAATGGCAAGCCAATCAATTTTTTAAGATTTCCCATTTTGCAAGCTTTTTAAAACACGTGCTGACAGAAAAGAATTGGGTTGCTTCAAATACCAAGATAGTAACATCGTTTACTTGTGAAACACATGGAACTGGGCTATTCCCACCAAGCTCATCGTTTCGGAACGATTACGAAAGGAATTACTAATTTAATCTCCAGATATATATTGGGATTTCCTAAATTTTAAACTTTGATTTTTATCAAGCGTCCAATTTGGATGCCATTGAATTTTCTAAACGAAACTTCCAAGTAATTCAAAAAGTGCCCTTAACCAAATTTCAATTTTAAACAAGAAAAATAATTTTGAATAAAATTAATCGTTCACAACCTGTGTTTGACATATGAAATTGCGAGTGTTTGAAAAAGCCATTGTTCAAAATTTTTCTAATTCTATATAATGCGGTTATCCAAGGTACGTTAATAAGGTGTTTTTGTGCATCCATATATCAGAAAACAATGTAATTACCAAGTTTTATAAATAAATTTGTACGTTATGTTAATTTAATCTGTAGTGTGTAGTAGCCTTAATCGATTATGCTTACATCAACTCCAGCCCTGGAAATATTTCGATATGAACTTTATCGAAATTAGAAGCGTCTTCAGTTTGTTACCAACTTCACAATTTAATTACATTGATTTATTGACTTATTAGTGATTGAATATTTGGTTTAACCAACGAGGGTTAATTTAATTTTGCTTATCTAAGAAATGCTTAAAACCCAATTATAGGAGCTGTCAGTAAACTGTCAACCTTCAGTTACACGACTATCATGTATAATTCAAGCCGAAAAACCCAAGAACCGTTCGATTTTCAGTCAACAAGTGTTCGTTTGTGGGAATTTGTCAATATGTATTTAATTATTAGCCGTGGAAGTTGGCCAAACTTCCAAGCTGTAAATGAAATCGAAACCAAGGATGTCAACTTCTTGTACAGTCACAGCCGAGGGGTAAGTTGTATTTGTAATGTGATTTTGTATACGCTTGCGAGAGTATTATAATTTTAAAATAAACTTCTTTGTTTCCAAACCTATACGGATATACTCCTAAATGTAGTAATTTTAAACAATCTTAGAATTACGGTCAGACCACTTTATTATATAGTTGGCTTAGGAACGATCGGAAATCGACAAAGCTTCAGCGTTTTTAAACATCGTCGCATAGAATTCGAAATATAGTTGTTTTGTAGACTAAAAAAAGGGTAAAAGAAAACTATTAAACCATATATACTTAATTTAATTTAATTTAACATTACTCTGTATTCTATGACTTACCTTTTTTGATTCTCAATAATGACTGCATGTGTATTTTTCTTTAATAATAAAAACAGTCTGTTTATCAGTACAGTTCAGAGTGAGAACCCACAAGTGCTGCATAATAATTCCGATCAATTACAGCAATTAGCACTGCTCGGCTTGGAGATAAAAACCGCATCAATTGTGTTGGCGCAGAGTCTTCAATTGCTTTTTATTACCATTTCGATGTGCCTTGATTTACGGCTGATCTGGTATAATTTTTACAGCGATGGGTACAAATTTTATAGACCTGGGCTGTTTGTTCAGACTCTAAAATTTATTGGTTTTCTGAACTTTTATTTGACTACCACTACATAATTCGTTTCCGCAGAAAATAAAAAAAAATCTTATTTGTTTTTGTTATTAACTTCCCTCCACTGAGAATTGCACCCATAAGGAAAATTATTTTTATCATCATTCATTGAGAGAGTTCTCATGCGGAATAATATTTGGCTTTTAGCCAACTGGCCACGCTATAGATTGGCTAGCAAATATTTTTAGTTCGCATGTATCTTTTTTTTTTTGATAATTACTTCCCAGTTGAATGGATGAACGCGAATGCAAACACTTTCCAGACAAATGGTGTTTAATTTTATTTGTTCATGCAAAATAAGTAAAATGAATCAAAAGAATATTACACTATATGTGTACCTTGTAAATTATTATTTATTTTACACATTTATTTATTGGTTTTGTGATGTTGAACAAACTATAAAGAAAGAAAAGCTATACTGTCCTTTTTCTCTCTGTCTGCCTTAGTGACCCTTGATGTTTTATAAATCTTTTCTTTGGAGACTAAGGCATAATAAATTTATTTTATTTATTATCAGAAATAAATACATTCAGGAAGATACATAATAAATAAAATCGTTACACAATTGTATTTGTATATCTTTTGTCGATGCACCAAATTTTTGGGCAAAGTTTGCACCGCAGTTCAGCAGATGGTGCTACCTAAAATAAAATTATATGAAATTTGTTACCTGAGTAACGAGTATCTTATAGTGGTGGTACTCAACTATAGCGTTTCTCCTTGTTTTCGTTTTAAAACAAAGCATCCACAATCACCTACCCCAACAAGACTATTTAAATGTGCCAACGGTGACCCACTTTCACTGTCCAGAGATTGTGAACAGCTGTCAGACACTGTGAAATATTGGACAACCCTTGAGACATACACAGAAACGATAAACTAAGAGTCAGCGGACAGAAGACAGAGGCCACCAACGCCTCCCATCGCTCATCCGACTGAAAGCGAAACAAAAGACGGCAACCGGCAAACATGGGGAATACTTCCGATTCAGGAGATCGCGATCTCGATCGGACTGAAAGTGCCATCGCCCACACGTACAAAAAGTAACAAAAGATGACTCTGTCTGGGAATGATAAACTTGATTCGGGCGAGACTATATGCTCAGCTTTCAAATAATTACAAAAGACGCCTTATGAGATTAGCAAGTGTTCTCTTACACTATTAAATTGATTTGTTTGCATTTAAAAAAATATTCTCTTTACCATTTTTTAACGGTTCTTAGAACTAATGAATATTAATAAAAAAGAAATTATTTCTTTGCGGGTATATAGAGCAATAACTGTCTATCTATGCAGCTAAGTACATTTATGAATTAATTCCAAGTATCATCGAACCAAAAAGTCAAAATTTCTTGGAACTCAATCTGAGGCTGAGAGTCAAACAATTTTTCTATATTTATGCTAAGTTTGTGTCAGTATTTCTTAAAATAGGCAGAGTACTTATTAATAATTAATTATTAAATAAGCATATACGCAATGCTTTAGATTTTTAATCCAAAGACCGGAAAGGAAATTAACTTACGCAAATCAAAGTTTGTATATCTTTATAATTATATTCGTTTCAAAGGCATATTGTACAGTCGACCGATCCTGGTCATTTCAACATATAAACTACGTAGAATAGAAAGAAGACTCATCGAACATTTTGTATATATATTTTCGTATACCTTTAAAACATAGAACATAAAGCGAAGATTTCGACTCGGAACATATTCATATTTTCTTTAAGGTTTGAAGGTGTCTTTCACAGCATTGGAAAATTCTAAGTAAAATTAAAATATTCTCAGCAAGGGTATATATGTATGTATATACATTAGTTTGTAAAATTCCAGACACATTTCTCCAATTGAGTTGGACCTCTGACTTGAACTAATTCAGCGTGGGGCGATTTCAAGAACTGAAATAAAATGCAATGTTAATGAAATAATTTTAAGGAATATATAAGCAATTCATGAAACCCACATTATGTTGCACCTCTTCATAGATTTGTAATACCAATTAAAATGGTGTTTCTGGGGGTAACACCGTTCAACTTTAATGTATTCTTAAGGAGCTCCACGAACTTGCAGATAATGTTATTATATAAGTTCTTAAGTTCGTACAACATTTGAGCGTCTTGATTAATTCTAGTTCATTAATCTTGTCTATATAATGAGGATAATTGGCAAAAAGTAATTCCAAATCTTCCAAAGACTTTGCATTCATCGAAATCCAGTTGTAAAACATACATTTTGGATACAAATAAAAATTACTCCTTAATCGTAATGATCTTAGTTTTGGAAAATTAGGCAGCCTTGATGAGACATAGCAAAAATATATCTCCAGTTCCTCCAATTCGGCGCAAGTCGTGTTTTAAATTTCCGAGAGATATATGTTAGAAATATACAAATAACGAAGTCTTTTTAGTGTCGACAAGATGTCAAATAAATTGACAGGCTGAAGATCCCGCTTAATCGTGAGACTAATGTTTTTCAAGATAACTAAAAATTGGTTAAACAATTAGATTAGTCGTTTTCCTTATTAATTTAAAACTTACTTTGATTACGGTTGAATCCATCCATAAAAGTAATTGATTTAGGCACGGAAGATACCTTAGGGCATTTATAATATCCGCGGAGGCTTCACAATCTTCACTGATATGTAAATGAACGGATTTTAGATTTTTAGCTTTGGATATCAAAGAAGTTATGTTTATCCATAAAGTTTTGATTGTTTACATTTAATAGTATTGTTTCTAAATGAAGGCAATGATTCTCGATCAGCTTAAATGGAATGCTGTAGATGCACTCCCAGGTGCAATTAATTATCTGAATTTGGTAACCGAAATATGGAAAGAATGATAGCCAATACATACATATATAACTGATAGACTGCGGGTGTCAACTTCGGTGTATTCTCTTTTATTGAGCCAATTCAATGCAATCCAATTCAATTTGATTGCATCTTGGAAATTAATCCCCCAAAATATTAAATCTTGATCCTTCATTCTCGGGCCTCTCGAATTTTAATAACGCTTTATGCCTGACTGATGTCACTTGTAGCCTAGAAATGAATCTCATCTCGTTCGTACATATTTTTACTTATAAACAAGCTTACTGATAACGGCTTAGAATTTCGTGGAAATAAAAAATAATAAAATTTAAATCAATATTATTTGACAACGCATAAATTCAGCGAATTTGTAAATTTTAATGACAATAAGAAATCCTAATTTCAAAAAGGATTTTTTTTTTCATTAATCTTTACATTTTGTTTCCTTATTTAATGTGTATGGATTTTTATACCCTTGAAGAGTGTGCAACGCAGTGAAGGAGACATCTCCGACCCTATAAAGTATATATATTCTTGATCAGGATCACCGCCTGAGTTGATATAAGCATGTCCGTCTGTCTGTTTCTATCGAATTAAAACTTTGCACACACCTTCTTTCCTTTGCACGCAGTATTTAAGTCGGAACGGCCGGGATCGGCCGACTATATCCTATAGCTGCCATTTAACTGAACGATCGAAAATGCCATAACTTTGGTGTTTGTAAGGTTAGGAAGTTGGGATTTTCGCTATGGGTTTTACATTTGGCCAATCAATCCGACCTATCAAATTTCATAAGGATCGGCCGACTATATCCTATAGCTGCCATATAACTGATTGATCGGAAATGCCATAACTTTGGTGTTTGTTAAGTTAGGAAGTTGGGATTTTTTATAAGTATTAAAAATGCATCATATGAATAGTTTTGGGAAATATAATTTACAGAATATTCTGCAAGGGTATATCCGCCCGAAGTTAGCTTTCCTTTCTTGTTTATTGTTTAATAACCCATCAAGTACTGTTAAAGAAAACATCGACACATGAGATTGTGTTTAAACGTCATATATTGACTGAATTATATAACTACAATTATCCACTATATATTTAGACTCAAATTCGTCAAATGGTTAGTATTTATTGAAGGGTACATTTATATTCGATATTCGTAATTAGGTCTTTAGTCATATCGAAAGCGGATGGGCCGCTTTTATCGTCGCAATCGACGAACGTCTTCGTTTGCGTACAAGGCAATTTATTAATTATGCATAAATGGCAAAGACCCTGCTGAAGTTGAGCCGGGGATGCGGGGGAGTTGGAGGTTGGATGTTGAATGTCGACTGTTGAATGTTGGGAGCTCGGCGGAAAGTTCAAAAAGCAATCAAGTTCTGAGTGCCGACAGTTCTCAGCCGATTGTACTGTTATGCAAACAGAAGGAGAAGGACCGACGGGATCGGCAGACGTTATAGCCCGGCCAACTGAAGTTAAGCTGACAAAATGCACTTCAACTGGAATCACCTTAAATGGCAGACAACACACGTCTTTTGTCGTTAAGCATTTTATGGTTTTATCCCTTAGTTGGCAAAAGTTTTCATCGGAAACCATTTGACTGGTGCAAAGTTTTTTATTTGCTCCCCTCTGTTTTTATTTGGGTGTAATAAATTATTATAGGGGGAAAAAAAAGGAGAACAAATTAGAATCCATTACTAGGTCTTCTACCTGCGGCTCTAGCGTCTAGATCCTCAAACTCCGATTCCCTGCCATGTGCTCTCAAGTGCCTCGGTCCTATCTTTTTCTGTACACCCCAACACCATTTTTCTTTTCCCCTTTTTCGGGTTCTTCGCTCCTTCGCAAAGTTTTAAATTTCTTGGAAATAAAAGCCTGGACATTAGTTTTCGTCCTTCCCTTTTCTATCGCTCTACGCTTGGATGCCCCTTTTTATTATTGCTGTATTTCTTTCTTTCTTCTTTTTTCGGTTTTTGGGACCGGCAAATTTTTGCAGCTACCTAAGGCTCCATATCTGAATTGAGTTAACTAGTGGGAGCGAGACAGAGAAGCGAGAAAGAGAGAGATGCGGAAGAAAATCTAAGGCGCGTTACGGTTGCCTAGTCTTATAAATATACTCTTTAAATCGTGTTGGATCACCACGATCTGTCGGTCTTTTTGTGTTTTCAAGCTAGTGATCACTGTAGATTTTTGAGCTTGTCCAAAAACAAAATCTTGAACTTTTTATGCAGGCTATACACGGTAAATTAAAGTAATTTTTATTTAATTACGAAGCCCACTTTTTTGACTACTTTTCATCACTTTTAAAACGTGATAGCTCTGTTTGCCATTTTTTTAGAGTTGTTCTTGAAGACTTTTCCAAATAATATTAGTTTTGGTCGTCTATATCTTAAGCTTAATAAAAGTCGAGAGCCCCTTTATTTTATCTTGACCTACAATTTCTTTATCACCATATCGTTTCGTGATTGGGTTCGAATATAGTACATCAAAAATTTATAAAAATCATTATTAAATTAACTTAAAATATTATTGAATTATTCCAGTATTTATTATAATATTGAGAACTAACTAAAAAGAATACAACTATCATGTTTTAGTTTGTACCAACTGAAGTTGCATGACTACTTCTTAAAAAAAAAAACTTAAAAATTTAATAAATAATTTGGTAATAATTTTGAAAAATATTTAAAAATTGTTTCCGGATCCCCATGCACTTTTCGAATGCACATTTTAAATATACAAAATTAAGAGGAGGGTATCTTCGATTCAACCTAATAAAAAATCTTTTTTCCCCGTCTGTCTTCCACGTGTTATCTGCTCGGTCGCTCTGCCATCGACGCTCTGCCTCTTGGCCTCTGTCCGTGCGTTTATTTAATTTTTTATTCGGGCTTCACTTGTCCCTCATACGCCGTGTGGTTGTTGTAGTTGCTGCTTGGCTGCGATACGAAACCGTGCAGGTGTCCAATATTTTCTTTTATACCGCGTCATCGGCCCAAAGAAAGAAAAAAAATCAAAAAAAAAAAAATCGAAAAACTAGTTCTAGATTTACTGCCACTCCCCCTTCGACGACCCTGCCGCGTCTCGCTTTATTTCGCCCATATTTTCGATTCGATTGCGTATAACAAGTTTAGCGGTCTCGCAGTCCCCCCCGCCCCCACCCCTTTTTCGAACCGTTCTTCGACTTGATATAAAGTGCTTTGCATCCATGCAACGTCGTACCCAGACCCCGCTCCACCTCCCCTTTGGGTCCACCCCCTCTCCTACACCCAAAGCCCTTTCCTCTTCATGCAGACATATATTCTGGTTCGCTTTTAATTTTTGTTTTGATTCTACGCTTTTGAAATTTGAGCACTGAGAAAAAATATTTGGTTAAGCCTGTGTTCCTGCAATAAATAAATAAATCAATTTTAATATTTATGAATGGTACCAGAATTTTTTATGAACCTTCCAAAAGATTATTTTTTTTGCAAATTGTGTTTTTTAAGCGTCTTGAATTATCTCTTAAAATAAATTCAAATAATTATTATATATGTGTTACCAATTTTTAAAACGAAATTTTTTTTATTTTTCGGTTTTTGTATATTATTTGAAATAAAACTAAATGAATAAAACCAACATTGTTTTTTTGTCAACATTTAACAAAACTACTCTTTTCTTAAGTGTGATTTTGATTAATATTATATACATGCTGGATTCGGAGTTTTTAGGCCCCATGTGGAGTGGTCCGTCTTCTTAATATTTCCTCCATGCCTTGTAATTACCCAAATTTGGCGTCACTACCCGTTAAAGGTTTTATTTGTTAGGATTAGGAAGGGGATAGACAGGAAAACGGTAATGTGGAATTGAAGTATATTTATGGAGTTGGCCTAACGATATCTTAAAAGGTTTGATAGATGATAGACGACAAGAAAGAGTTTAACAGTAACAAAAAATTAACATTTCTTATTTATTAATATCATTTCACATAAGTATTCTCAATTTATATATAATTTCTTTAAACTGTTAGCATCTCCTTATTTTTTCTTAGGATTAATGAATTCTCTTTTAATACTTTTTGTGTGATTTGTTGAATTTATTAAATATAAATCGTACAGTATATTGATATAAAGTTATGCCTTTATTATGGTTAAAAATCCTCATGCATGATTTGCACATCTTTCCAGAACACATGGTCACCGGAGATTTCCACAGCCTGGATATCATCGTCCAAAAATCGATCAAAGGGATACGCCAATGGCAATTCATCCCATCGACTAATACCCTTGCTGAAGTCACAGTATAGTTCATTGCCCTGTCGAGCCTTGAAATCATAGACAGTGGCCACGATCAGAAGACGCATCTTCAAAGGATTTCCCCTGCCACCCCGTGGTAACATCAGACGCCTAGGGAATCCACAATTAGGAGTCGATATATTCAAGGGAAAGTCGTATTCCTCCCTTTCGGCCAGTTTCACGAACTGATGGAGCTCAGTAAATGATATGTGATCGCCAATCAGTCCTCTAAAGTCATTCGATTCCCTTGATATTCTATTTAATCCTGGGTATATCACTGTTAGAAAAGAATCCAGTTGATAGAAGGGCTCCCTTTGAATGCGTCCCCGTTCTGAAGTTGTTAGAAAAGTTCTAAAAATTGTAGACTGCGTTTTGTTGCTTGAGATTTGCAGGTTATATGTGAAATCCTTGTGTTGAAATCGAAACTGTTGCTGTTGCAAGGTGAATGGCCACACAAACTGTCCTGCTAGGTAAAAGTGCTTTGCATGTAGGATATTACTTAGATCTACATCAACCTGTTGATCGTAGGTGATCAGGGGACTTATCTGCATATCATCAATGCGAAAATCACTGGGAATAAAGATTTTCTGATCAGAGGGTTGGAACACCTGACGATACCAACGATATGCCTGCAACACCCGTTCAGCATAATAGTAAAAGTTTTCTGATCTCAGTGTGGTTCGAATATCCAGTAAAAGTTCAGGTTGTATATCTTGTTCTATAGTTAATTGTGTCCAATCGTAGGGGAATATTTCTCCAAGTCCAATAAGCCAATTGTCATCCACATCCAGATTAATTAAACTGCCATTATTTAGCTGAAAACTTCTGAAAGTGATAGCATCCGCTACTCTTTCCTCTAATTTTTCCAGTCTTTTAAAAATAATTCGTGAAGTTTTTGGGGACTCTTCTTCAAAACGATGATTTTGTCTTTTTATATCCTCTTCTGGTGCTAACGTTTTATACGTCAGCTTCTGGCCATATCGTTCAAGTTTATATCGAGCTAGTAATTGGCTTAATTGAAAGTACCACCATTCCTGCAACTCAATTGAATTTTCTTCAGTAAAAGCAATGCCAATGTTCAAATTATACCAATACGACTGCCAGCCAATATCCTCTAACAAGTAATAGAGTTGCTTCCGCTTTTTTGGTTGTTTCATTCTTAGTATACTCACATCGGCCATGGCCTGAAACCATTCAAGGGAACTTCTCAGATCTCCTTCCAAATTTAAGGGTTCCATTTTTTGCGGATGGATTTCCTCAATATCACCTGTATTCTCGTATCTGATCCAGTTGGCATAATTAAATTTCCTGGCCTTGCTCACAGTTATATCATCGTGATACGATTCCGGCCACAATTCATAAATCTTGGGCATAATCAGGGCCTGATAATCCTCCCTTTTGAATAGAACTTGCGTCAGAGCTTGAACAAAAATACCCGGATTTATATGAACCCGTGCCCAGCAAATATTTTGCCATAAGGTATACCAATCCCTGGTGTTATAGAAAAAGTGATAAAGTCCCAGCGTCTGTTGATAATGATCGGCAAAGAGTGGATTGTAGTATGCATTTCTGTGTAATAATTTTCCCAAATTAAAAGCCTTATAGAACTCGGTCATGTGTTTGTTGTAAAACTACAATTTATAATATTTTAGTTAGTTACATTTTAATTGTGTTTGGTTTTATACTTACCACGTACTGCTCTTTATCGGTTACCAACTGCTCTCCCAATGATCTCCATTGATCGTTCAACAAAGGTTCCTGAACATGATGCAAAATTTCCAACAAAGAACGCTGCTTTTCCAAAAAATAGCGATTACCTATAAGTAAATTACTTTTTAAGAAAATAATGATTTAAAAATTGTAGAATAAATGTACCTATCCCATTAGCAAACACTTCTAAATTAATATTTAAAAATAACAAAGATAAGAAGACGCAAAATCTCATCGCACTTGTTTACCAAACACGGTTCAAAAATAAACTGGTGGCGCCTTGCACATTGCTTTTTGATTATTGTAAGTATATATAGCTTTCACCTATATCAGCTAGAATTATCTTTCTGTTTGCAGGGTGGCTATTTAAGTATAGAGATGACAACAGAGCTTATAAATAATAATATTTCCCTGATCATTTTTATACGTTTTTTAAGTCCATTTTTTTGGTTTTATGTTTCCTATTTATTTTTAAAAGAGCACAAACCTGTAGGAAGAAGAACTTGATTTGAATCGGGCTTTTAAAAAATATATATTTTTCCTATTAGTTTGTTGGAAACTATTTTTATTTAAATTTAAATATTAACCGAAGTTTTACATAATCGGTATTTCATTTATAAAGATGAAGAGTTAAAATGTTTAGTTTAAATATATAACATGCTATTCAAAAAAACATAACGTTTACTGCTTTTGGGCAAATCTTACAGCTTAACTTATATATTTACAAAATAAATTCTTTCATTTTTTGATTCATTGTGACATGATCAACAAAAATGAGCTTTTTGGCTTGGAATTTTAAGTTTTTATACCCTTGCAGAGGGTATTATAATTTTGGTCAAAAGTGTGCAACGCAGTGAAGGAGACATCTCCGACCTTATAAAGTATATATATTCTTGATCAGGATCACCTCCTGAGTTGATATAGCCATGTCCGTCTGTCCGTCTGTCCGTCTGTCCGTCTGTCCGTCTGTCTGTCCGTCTGTCCGTCTGTCTGTTTCTACGCGAACTAGTCTCTCAGTTTTAAAGATATCGAATTGAAACTTTGCACACACCCTTCTTTCCTTTGCACGCAGTATATAAGTCGGAACGGCCGGGATCGGCCGACTATATCCTATAGCTGCCATATAACTGATTGATCGGAAATGCCATAACTTTGGTGTTTGTTAAGTTAGGAAGTTGGGACTTTCTATGGGTTTTATTTTTGCCCAATCAATCCGACATATCAAATTTCATAAGGATCGGCCGACTATATTCTATAGCTGCCATAAACATAACTGAACGATTGGAAATGCCATAACTTTGGTGTTTTTAAAGTTAGGAAGTTGGGATTTTTTATGAGTATTAAGAATGCATCATATGAATAATTTTGGAGAATATAATTTGCAGAATATTCTGCAAGGGTATTTCAACTTCGGTTCCGCCCGAAGTTACCTTTCCTTTCTTGTTTTTAAATATTTTGGATATTAATTCAAAAAGTTTTACATTGCTAACTTAATCACTCGCAATTTATTTAAAGGCAAAGCAAATAAATACCGATTACTCTCCTTAATTCCCTTAATTGGCTATTGTTGGTAACCATTTACCGAGAAAACTGTAAATAAAGCGGAAAATTACCGTAAGAGATATCCCCAGAAGCGAGTCTCATTTGCCTATTAGTCACCAAGAGTGGCACAATAATGCAAAACGATTTTCGCCAACCGAGTGGTTATCCCCGCCCACCGGCGATCACTTCCCGCTCCTGTTGCGCAAATGTGCGGACATTAAATTGCCAACTCAGCCGTTTTCTGGGGCCTCTGATGTCTGATGTTTTACTTGTGATGACTGCTGATGACTGGATGGCGGAAAAAAGGGCAAATTATAATGCGAGAAATGTTAATTACAGTCGGCGCGACTCGGATGTCTCGGTATCTGGCCCATTGTTCGCCCCAGAAATTGGCGCATTAATGTAAATCGGCAGCCAGGCATGACGGATTATAGGAACCCAGACCTAGTCCAGATGCAGGCCGACCATTAAATTATCGTCCAGTTACAGCCAGTATTATATATAAGATACAAAGCTCTTTGTTTCCACTCCCGGTGACAAAACGTTGCGCTTGAAGAACTTAATGAGTTGGAACCGAAACGAAAGGAAGCAACCAGTTACTCGTACCACCCGGTAACTACTTGCTTCGCTTTGATTGATTCTCATTGATGGTGGCAAGAAGTTTTTGGCCCGATAAGCCCTTTAGGACCGTTACCGATCAGAGATACCTATTGCTGCCTCATGAAAACTGATTACCGAACCCTAGATCCAACGAAACGTGACAAAACTACTGCGAATCTTGCCCAGTCATTGTCAGTGTTACATCTCTGGTATGATGCACTGGTAAAATTTCACTAAATTTAAAAGAAAAGTATCTTTTGAGGAATACGGAGATGTAAAAGTATCTAAAATGTAAAAAAAAAAGTATTAAAAAAGTAGTATTTTGTCATGGTAAAAGATTGTGAATTGTATATTTTTAGAGAACTCGTAATATACTTAGATGTATCTTGTATTGAAACCATTAAACTGGAATAATTTTAAAAATGCGTTATTTAAAAAATTGTCTATGAAAAATTGCATAAGATATTGTCTTACAACAAATATGTTTATAATCTCCATTCCATAATTTTCACATAAGTTTTTCTCGGCATTGTTATTATTATTATTTAAGTAATTCTGCATTCTGTATGGAATTTGAATTTTTATTAAATTCCATTTTGATATAAACAAATTTTCTTCACTGTAGAGAACACGTTCAAATCCTTTCGCACATGGATCGACACCCCGGATTTTCCATCCAACATCGATCCCAAGTGCTTTGCATAATATCAGCACATTAACTGAGATCGGGGATTGCATCGCTGCATCTTGTAGCGAAAATTCAATGGGCTTGCCATCATCAAATGGCCATAAATCGTCACGTCTAAGAACCCTTAGGGGCCATGCTCCTTTCGAATGTCATCACAGACTCTTTTTTCTTTTTTGTTGGCGTTTCCGTGATCCTTGGCCCCGGGAGGCTTATGAAATGCAAATTACATTTCAATAGCGCGCTTTAATGGTCCCCTAACCCATCTCATCTACGCGCACTTTGTTCTTTGTCATCGGTCTGATGATTGCCCCTTTTAGCGCATTGGAATCGTATTTAAAAAGTCATTATCGGGCGGATCCATCCCCCTCCCAATTTCAGCGCATCAATCACTGCGCCTTTTGTCAACCTTCTTTTTTTGTTGGCTCATAAAACGGTTGGAAAGTGGACATCTTAGGCACAGTGCGTGTGATTGGTAGGGTAGAACGCATAATAAGCTGGAATATATTTTGCTTTGGGAATCTCTGCTGGAGGTTTTCTTGGGCTCTAAGGGGTGTTACAGACTTTCACAGAAGATTTGGTGGGAGAGCTACTTGGGTTTAATGATCTCTCACTGTGCCATCATCTTAATAATCCTTTAAAAACAGAAGCTAAATGAGAAATTTATGAATTAGGTTGACTGCTTTTTAAAAGCAATTAATGAGCATGGAATGTGTAAAGCATAAAATGTGTAGATATATTTTAAATAGCCTTTAAATAGGATTAATATCATATTTTAGGATCTCCTTTATTATTATAATTATATAATCAATAGTCTCAGAAAATTTGGTTCTTGTTAAAACTTAATACATTTGCGGAATTTATAATAATTTCACTTTGAAATATTATTCAAAATTAAAAGTCAAGCAGTGCAGCTATTTTTATTTTAATTTATTACCCATAGTATTTTAAACTTCAGGACCTCCAATGACTCACCATGCAATTAGCAACTTTTTAAAGCTTAAGTGATCCGAATGACTTGAATTACCATATTTCCGTCACCTTGAAGACGTTACCCAATTGCTTTTTGCTGCCATCTAACTATTTTCACTCACTCGGCTATCTGCCAACCTCCATAAGCTTCTTATTTATTATGACTTTTTTTGGTGTAAATATTTCAGGTCTGACGCATACGCCGGGGTCTTTTGGAATGTCATGTGGACCTCGGGCACCTCGTCAATGGCAAAATGTGTAACCAAGCACACATGAATCATCGCAGTCGGTCCAAAAAGACCAGCCCAGACCGCAGGGCCCCGATCGGTAGTCAGATGTTTTTAATAAGGCAAGCGACAAACAACCAGAAATTGGGTCAACCGAGATAAATACAAGTAAGTGTTGTTTAAACATACACTTTGGGAATTATTTAATTAAATTAAATAATACTCAAGTTACTCAATAAATGATTTATTTTAATAACACTCTTGAATTTCTTTGATAGTTCCGCAATTATTTGAAAGCTAATTAATCTAGCAAAATCTAGGATCTATATATAATATTCATAAAATTAGTTAGGTTTATTATAAATCGTTGAATTTGAATTAATAAACAAAAACTTTGTACTTTAAAATAGATTCCCTATTTTGTTTAGGAATTATTTCCTTTAATTTCAAAAATAAACTTTCTCTAAGCCTTGAAAGAATTTTTTTAAGATTGTAAAAATATAAATAAAATGATATATTATAAAAATGTGCTTTAATGCCCGTTTTATTTATAAATATACCAATCATGAATTATTTATATTCTTACAACTTTTTGATTCCATCGTCATTTAATTTTTGTTATTTTTTGCAGTGCACATAAATGGAGCTGATTTCGGGAGTTCTCCTTGCCCGAAATTTAATACACTGATGGATATGGGAAGGGAAAGGAGTCCCGAACAATGGCAGGGCTTTCATGCGAACTGTCAACTTGTCACGACAATTAAGCGAGTCGATGGCTATCTGGCTATCTATCGTTGGAACATCAGGAAACGCCCACGCATGCCGGCCGTCTTAAGCGTTAAACAAATTAAATATCCGATATTTGGAAGGGGGGAATTATTGAAATACGACACCGATCGGAGTGGATGCATCAGGTAGAGGCGATGACCCAATTCGCTGTGCACTTGCGCGACAATTTTGGTAAACACAGAACCCTCGGTTGACCCCTTACCAACTTACCAACTTACCAACACCTCACATCCCCATCTCCCCCTCTTCATTTTTTGTAAGCTCCAATATTTGTTTACCATTTAGTTTATTATGCTGTGTGCGCTTTGGTTCTGCCTTGTTTGATTGCCCTTATTGGACTTCGGTGCGTTCCCTTGTGCCGTGGTGATTTTCAATTCAAGTTATGATTATTATATGTTGGGAAAGTCAAATAACGGTCGC